TGAAAGGAATATCAATATATATATATATTGATATTCCTTTCAGTTCCGCCTCCAGATTAAGCCATATACTCTCTATAAATAGTAATTTTAGAAAATGAGGCGATTTATTAGCACTTCTGTTTAATAAAAAGGGAGCTGATGATAGTACTAGTAAATTACGCCATTGATCACAGGCTTTTTTGCGCTGCCTGGGAAAAAGAAAATCGTGATACCTTTAAAAATAGCAGATGAATTCCTCCATCCTGCCCATGCGGCAGGATTCTCTGTATTTTCAGTTCAATAAGGCTTATTCCCAAGTGAGAGAATGGAGAACTGCACTGTTGAACCTGATCTAATAATTTCACAATAGCTCTCTTTCGGTTTAGCATTAAAAACCCTGATACTGTTGCTTGCATTCGTTTGAGAAATCATTGTCTCTAGTCTGATGTAAAAGGAAGCAACCGCAGGCCCTATCTTGTGTGGTCTGGCATCAAGTACTCCTGGAGAACCAACCTGGTGGCAGCAGCGATTTTAGATATATTGGCTGAGTAGTAACTTAGTGATAAAAGTCCAATACAGAAGAACCAGTTCACTCTAACATCTCCAGGTCTAAAACAAGATGAAAAAAGCTGCTGTTAATAGACAAATTAGACAACAATTTGGTGGATGGAGAATTAGAAAGCAGTTCTCTGCTATGATTTATTCCCTGCCTGTTTCACAGAGTTTTTGCATGTGATCTCAGGTGTATTTCAGAAAAGGTCTGTGTTTCACAACAGAGAAAAAATAGCTGCCTTTTAGGACACTCCATTCCCCTGGGTATATAATTCCCTCTTATAATTGTGTTCAATAATAAGAGTAATTTATTTTTTAGCACCCATCTATCAAAGGAATCCTAGGTAGTGAACAGAGATAAATGAAAAAAAAAATCAGAAGCAGTTAAAAAGAAACTAAGCTGAGGCCTCTGACAGAATCTCAGTCTCAGGCAGTGGAACGCACCCACACCAGAGCTCTGGGCCCCAATGCCTGAGGGAGATTTCTTTATCTGAATGTACAATCAATAATTCCTGATTTTTCCTGCTGTAAAAGTCATGGCATTTCTACAGTGATTCAGTGGTTTTGTGTGTCGTTACTGTATGAGACCATTCTTCTCTATCTTGTTAGGATTGCCAGAAACTTCCTAAGAAAGCAAGCATCTTTCTCAGACCTGTTGTAAGATTCTGTCATTCAAGTTCATAATTACTATCATTCCCAGTGAGAGATCATACTGGCTAGGCAGATGGAAGTTGAAGTCCATCAAAACCTGGAGGCCCACTGGTTCTCTGCCTCCCCACCCCCTCAATCAACATTTAATTGATGATTTCAGAGAGTACCTGAGTTTTCTCGTATTATCAACCACAGTCCTTAGACTTCCTATATCACAGCTCCAGCCTCCAGTTTAGAAATTTGAATATCCCGAAAACACGGTGCTGTGAGACAACGTACCACGTCTACATATTCAGTTTAATGTCTATACATGCACTCTATTTTAAGTGTCACTCTGACCACACAGAATTCATGTTTACTTAATTGCCAAAAATACCTATTAAACCTTAGACACATTAACAAATAGTAGTAAACATAACTCCAGTTTAAAATTTACTTTTCAAAGAAGCAAGTTAGAATTGGTGAATATACTCATTTCCCCAAGTTACAGTTTGGAAGTTCTAGATCTATAGATTTGGTATAGCATACATTTTGGGTGGTTGCTGCTGCTAACTCTGGGAAGTGATTTCTTAAACTGGTCTTTCTGGTATTATTGGAGGGAGGGAATGGCCAGGGATTGAGTGAATCAGTAAAAACAAATATCAGGATCTTAAATAACTGTTCCTCCTAAAGTTCTGGGAATATTCATTCTCAAACATTTGATTTTTAAAAACTTTTAGCAATGTAGCACTTATGGCATGCATGATAACATTTTGTATAACAATTTTCCTATATAGGATGTATGAAAACAACCTTTCCAATACATTGAAAAACATAGTCAGTCTTAGTAAGCAGGATGCAGATGCACTGAGTTCTTTGCCATTTCACAATTGGCCTATCCAGTTTCAGTTGCAAATCATTTACGTTCAAAAACCAAATTTCCTCTCTCTCATACCTCCCAAAGCTAACTATCTATTTGCTTATTATAAAAGTCAAGGCAGCCAGTCCAAATATAGTAGCACTCTCACCTGATTCCTTAGGTGGGAATCTTAAGAAATGGTAGGTATTCCTTAATCTATATTTTGAGTATTGTTTCTGGAACTGCTACTTCAGACTGAGTAATTGGTTGGGCTTGTCTTTATTTGAAATCTTGACCTAGATATGTATATAGGCAGAGTAGATTAGGGACTCTCCATCCGAGTTAGTCTACTTAAGTTTTCTCCATTTGTGTGATGATCCTATTTTCTTTTCAGATACTTAATGTTCTTTCCTTAATTCCCACACCCTTCTCCTTAAATCCTAAGAACTTGATTTCCCTCCACCACTCCTGACTGCCCATGCCTTAGGAAGAGGCTATTGTTAAAGGGTTTCGTTGTGGCATCATTTACAGGAACACTGTGGCAGTATCAGAAGTACTGAGTTACAAGAGGACAGGAAAAGATGAAAGAGAGAAACAAATGAGAGGATGGACACGATTTTATCTCCTTGTCCAATTAAAGAGTCGAGGAATTATTAAGTAAGAATAGCC